GGGAGGAATTCCTCCCTGTGAGGGTGCTGAGGCCCTGGCACAGGGCGCCCAGAGAAGCTGTGGCTGCCCCTGGATCCCTGGAAGTGTCCAAGGCCAGGTTGGACGGGGCTTGGAGCAACCTGGGCTGGTGGAAGGTGTCCCTGCCCATGGCAGGGGTGGCACTGGGTGGGCTTTAGGGTCCCTCCCAACCCAACCCAGTCTGTGATTCCATGAACTCCAGCCCATGGCCCAGGCAGGGCACTGAGGGCTGTCCTGAAGCTCCTCTGCCTCACCAAGACCAACTCAGACTCTGCCCTCTCCCCTCCCTCACATCTGTCCCTCCCTGTAAAACCTTCTTCCCTCTGCCTGGAATTCCTCCCCCTTCCCATTCCTGCTGCCCCAGGGTGGCCTCTGCCCCACCACACCTGAGCTGGTTTCACTTTCTTCTTCTAGCACTGGGAAGTGGCTCCAGCGTTTAACAGAAACAAAAACTCTCAGCACAAAATATCTAAACTAACCCTAGAGCAAAAACAAAATCCAAAACACCCCAACAAAACATCTCCCCCACCTTTTAAACTGCATATGAACAGGTGCAGACTCAAACAATTGCATTTTAGAGCACGATTAAATTCCATCTCTGACAGTTCTGGTAATGCTAAATGTTAAAAAAAAAGTGATCATACCTGAGAATTTGATGAATTTTCCCAGAAAACGAGATTATATTTAAAGCTTAGATCATTTAGCCACATTTTTTTGCCCTGATTTGCTTCTGGAGGAGAAATCTTAATTTTTATGTCTCCATTTGTGGGCTGCAACTCCATTCCTGGTGGACCAATCTGAGCTGGAAATATGGAAAGAAAAACAAAGTTAAGCACAACTACCTAGAGCAAAACCACCCCAAAAGCAGTTGACATCAATAAACCCACAGTACCTGCCTACAGAATCTTATTTTTGATTCTTTTGAGGCAGCAACAAGATCACAGTGATCACCCACAGGGTCTCGGTTTTCATGGCTCTCAGGCAGTTTCTGATAGAAATCCAACCTAAAGACCAACCACCACGACCTGGTTCTAAAAGCAGCTAAAATGCAACATTAGCAGCAAATGTTTTCCAAACTCTGCTGTAAAGATCAGTATAAGTTATTCTAAAAAAAGGCAAGAAATGTAGCTCAGAGCCATAAATCCAACACTGAGGGAAGGCTTCAGTACTACACTGTAACTGCTGAAAGGTCTCAAAGTCAGCAGAACATTTCCAGAAGAAAGGAGCTTGGAGCACCCTGGGCTGGTGGAAGGTGTCCCTGCCATGGCAGGGGGGGAACTGGATGGGCTTTAAGTTCCTTCCCAGACTGGGATTCTATGAAACCAGCATCACTTACAATATTCTCCCTTCCCAGGAAAGACAGAATTGCACCTTCCATGACTTGTGTTATGCTCCTGCTGAGGAAACCACCACATCCTGCTCTCACAGGCAGTGGGAACCGTGTTTGTTCCACAATCCTGGAATCCCAGACTGGTTCGGGTTGGGAGGAACCATAAAGCCCATCCAGTGCCACCCCTGCCATGGGCAGGGACACCTTCCACCAGCCCAGGTTGCTCCAAGCCCC